ACTATGCCATCATTCCGCCAGCGTGGTTCCTGCCCTGAAAAATCTAGATCTCTTGGTGAGATCAACAAGTATTCACAATCACAAAAGAGACACAAAAATGTGCAAGGAAAGCTGGGTGCAGTGGCTCACGCCCGTCATCCCAGCACTTTGGGAGCCAGAGGCGAGAGGATTGCCTGAGCCCAGGGGTTCAAGACCAGCCTGGGCCACGTGGTGAGACCTCAGCTCTACAATAAACCAAAACAAATTAGTTGGGAGTGGTGGCAGGCGTTTGTGGTTCTAGCTGCTTGGAAGGTTGAGGTGGAAGGATCCAGTCTGGGTGACAGTGAGACTCAAACTCAAACTCAAAAAGAAAAAAAAGCTGCAGGAAAAAGTAGAGCCCTGTCAAGCTAAGTACAATCTACATGAATGAGAAATTTTAAAATAAATAATTTACGAGTAAAGGAACAATAACATTATTCCCTTTTTAAGCAAAACTTGCAGTAATTTAAGTTTATGCTTATGTTATTATCTTCCACATAAAAAGACTTCAGTGTGTTTATGGGTGACACAGTCCAATGACTTTTGACTTATCCCTAAACTGGGAAAGCAGCCGTCCTCAGGGTATCACCTTCCTGAAGGGAAGAGTTTTCTTTCTTTTTTTTTTTTTGAGTCGGAGTCTCACTCTGTCGCCCAGAGTGGAGTGCAGTGGCCGCTCCCGGCCACCGCAGCCTCGACCTGCTGGGCTCTGGCGATCCTTCCGCCTCAGCCTTCCAAGTAGCCGGAATTACAGGCGCACGCTACCACGCCCGGCTGATTTTTTGATTTATTGTAGAGATGCGGTCTCACTGCCCAGGCGGGTCTCGAACCCGCGGGCTCAGGCAATCCACTCACCTCAGCCTCCCAAAGGCGCGGGATTACAGGCTGAGCCACTGAGCCCTATTGTATGTCTCACTGTGGGCGGGCCCTGTGCTTTATTTCCTTTTTACTGTACTCCATGAGGACATGAGCACACCTGTGTACCCAATCCCACACACTCTTTTCCAGCATATCTCTATTCCTTCATCAAAGGGTGGTCTATGTTCCCTCACCTTGATGACAGGCTGGCCTTAACAGCTTGCTTCTAAAGGACACAATGTGGCAGAAGTGATTCTGCATGACTTCTGAGGATTAGACATGGTAATTCAACTTCTGGTTCTGTGTTCTACCAAAATTGAAGATTTTGTGTGAACAAAAGAAATGTTACTGCTTCCAGTCATTCAATGTTGGGGTGTCTTGTTATGCAGTTGGAACTGAAGTACACAGGTTTGGTAAATGCCCTCAAGATACTGGCTCCAACTTTCTGCTTCTCTCTGGTTTACCAGTTCCCTTAGTTTTTGGCTTCTGGGAATTCCTTACTAACTTGCCAGCACTTCATTGCATGTAAATACTTTACATATTTTACCAAGCATTTTCAAAGTGAGGGGAGGTTCACATACCTAACTTACCTTGCTCATTTTCCTTTTATTTTATGTTTTATTTATTGTAGAGACAAGGTCTTGCCAAGTTGCCTGGGTGGGTCTCAAACCCGCGGGGGGCTCAGGCAATCCTCTCGCCTCGGCTTCCCAAAGTATTGGGATTACAGGCTGAGCCACTGAGCCCGGCCCATTTTCCTTTTAAAAAAGGATTTTTTTTAGATTAGAAAATATAGTTTATTTAGAAAGTAAACTGGAGAAAGAAAAAGAGAAATCACCTCCCCAAGGGAGGGGAGAGGGCCAAAGCTTAAGAAAATATAACCTGGCAATAATAAAAAAGGGATTTTTAAAAGATTGGTTTATAAAGGTGTCCCACACTTGCAATAAATTCCAGAAATAAAGACAAAAATCTGTATTCAATTATGTCTCCTATTTTATTCATTCTATCATGTGGCCATTACTAACATTGTTTGAGGTCATTTCAACTTTTTGGATTTTCTTTGAACAGTAGTACTCTGTAACTCCAATAAAGTTACTGACGCACTCCAAACTGGTCTTGAATAGTAACTCTCTCAATTATGTGTAATGATTTTAAGGGGGGGGAAATCTACTTTTATATATTTGGGCAATTGCGCCAATAATGCTAAGGTTACCAATGCTGCCTAAATTGGATTGGCAGCCTAAAATATTTGTTAGCTGAAATGTGAAAGTATGATTTGCAAACAAAAGATATGGGGTAGGAGTGATACATTTGTAATGTGAGAAAATGCTGGCTGTGCCAGGTGTAGCTCACGCCTGTCACCCTAGCACTATGGGAGGTGAAGGCGAGAGGATTGCCTGAGTCCACGGATTCGAGACCACCCTGGGCAACTTAGCGAGACCTCATCTCTACAATAAATCAAAAAATTAGCCAGGTGTGGTGGCATGCACCTATATCCCAGCTACCTAGAAGGCTGAGACGGAAGGATCGCCTGAGCCCAGCAGGTCGAGGCTGTGGTAGACGTGATCCTGCGACTGCATTCTAGCCTGAGCAACAGTGAAGCTCCGACTCAAAAAATAAAAAAAAAGAAACAAGAAAATGCTGGTTGTATAAAACCTGAGTGAAAAAACAAGAGTTGCTTGTAAAAAGGACTGCTAGGTACCAGAAAGAATATAGATGGATGTGAAAGTAACCAGCATAATCTATATTTACTCACAAGAAAAAAATGCCTAAAATGGACAAAACATCTGCATTAGGAAAAAGCCTTAATGACACAGACCAAAATATTAACAGTGGATACTTGGGTGTCCGAAATGGGGTGATTTTTCCCTCATCCTTTCCTGTATTTAAAAGCATTTCCCGGCTGGGATTGGGGGCTCAGTCTGTAATCCCAGCACTTTGGGAGGCCAAGGCAAGTGGATTGCCTGAGCCCACGGGTTTGAGACTAGCCTGGGCAACTTGAGAAGACCTCATCTATACAATAAATCAAAAATTAGCCGGGCGTGGTATCGCACGCCTGTAGTTCTGGCTACTTGGAAGGCTGAGGTAGAAGGATCGCCAGAGCCCAGCAGGTCAACAGTGGGGTGGCCATGAGTGTGCCATGGCACTCCAGCCTTGGCAACGGAGTGAGACTCCAACTAAAAAAAAAAAAAAAAAAAAAATTTCCCTCTAACAACTACATACAATGCACAATTCTTGACTGGATCCTAGATGGGTGGAGGGAGGAGGAATGATTAAAGGGCACTTTAAAGGAAACTTTAAAAAAATAAAACAGGTTAGGTAATAATATTGTATCTGTTAGACTTCTTTGGCATTACGGTATCATGATGCTGTAGAATATCTTTGTTCTTAGGAGACACATGCTGAGGTACCAGAGGATGAAGTGTTGGGTGTGTGTTTCAAATGGGTCAGGAAAACCTTGTCTATAAAGCATATACGATGCCAGCAATATGGCAAGTTGGATAAAGGGTGGATCTTCTGTGGGCTTTTTAAAAAACTTCAAAATAAAATCCTGGGGGAAAATGATATACTCCTATCAGGCAACAGTTGGGAAACAAAAAAGGCCCACTAGACAGTTGCCGATGAAGAAGCTTTCTACATGGATGGGCCGCATCTTGTCCAAAGGGACTACTTGGCATCTGTTCCACGTTTGTGTCAGTGACCCAACAGAGGATGCAGATGACCACTGTCTGCATATGTGCTGGCATAACCCGGTGCACATTCGCCAGCTCTGAAATAATCAGATGATGCCCTTCTACTGAGTGTCAAGCTGTGAAACAACCCCCTCTGGGAAGTTTATGCTTCTAGAGAACAAAATTAAGTATATGTCAGCTTTTTACAGTAAACAATAAGCTCAAATAGGCAATCTTATTGACATGATAGTGACTAACATAGTCATTTATGTCCATTTCCATTTTCCCACTTCTCTGAAAAAAAAATTAGGAATAAAAGAAGTTTATTCTCATATAACAGAGAAATGAGGATAACGTTTCTCAGTTTTAAATTTCTAACTTGTAAGTTAAGCCAAGTCAATATAAAAACGTTCCTTCAGTCAAATAAAACTAAGGAATTAAAAAACCCTTTTGTAAAGCCTTGGTATTATTGGGCTCCTATGACTCCGAAGCAGCACTCAAGGATTACATCCTTAAGTATTACACAGTATGTGTAATAAACAAGGTGAGGCACTAAAAATATATCCTATGTCTACAAACATGCTTTCTAATATATTATAAATAAATGTCTGCTTTAGGCTCTTGGGATCAAAATTAATCTAAATGGCATACAGAATCAGACCTAGTAACAAAGCAAGATGCAATAACCAAAAGCATGATAGATTAGTTAACATTTGTATAAAATATTACTATGTATCTGACACTAAGTGTTTCTATCTCACTTAATTCTCATAACAGACCTGTGAAGTGGGCCCTATTATTAACCCATTTTACAGATGCGTAGATGAAGGCTGGAATTTGCTGACGGTGACCCAGCTGGCAGGTGGTGAAGCGGGCCTTCAAACTCAGGCAGCCTGGCTTTGGAGTCTGCTCACAATCACTATGCTACAGCACCTCTCAAGACCAGCTACTAGTTAAAAAAGTAATCATCACGGGATAAGGAGTATCCTTGGGTTCCTTTACATCTCAACCTTCAACATAGTTTTTTTGTTCCTTTCAACCTACCAACTCGCCTCAATTTTGAGCCAACTGATTTTATCGTATTATTCCTTCTTTGCCCCTACTTTGCCCTTATGTGCCCACATTTGCTAGCACGTGGTTAAGATAACCAAACACATATGAAATAATTGAACTTGTTTGTTCAAAATAAAAGAGTTGAATTAAGCACTTTCCCTGACTCTCCTCTCTTATCAAGCCTTAAAAACTTGCTCAGAAAACCACTGCTGATGCTGATAACTGGAGTGGCCTCCCACAAGCACACTATGCCCTGGGTGGTGATGCTCTCAAAGCAGTGTCTTCAGTTCTCTACTGTGTGTAATGTGGAGCAACATGAGGGTAGTGGTAGAAATGATGGTGATAAATATATTTTCCACATTTCCATTTCATGAAAATACAATATTAAGATCATATCAAGCCAAATACAGAAATAAGAAAGTTTTAATTTATCCAAAAAACAAAAAACCAGACTGTATCAACACAACTGGAAGCCATACAGGAAGAAATTTCTAAAACACACAAAAGAAAAAGTCTCTTCTACAAGTGTATTTACATGTCTAAGGTCTACATTTAAAAGCATGGTCCCCAAGGTCTAGCACAGACATGGATGGCAGTCTACGGTAACACATTTGGGAAGCAGACTCTTGTGGTACTTTCTTGTACAGGACAAAAATCACACGAGGAAACCCCCAGAAGCTATCAATACACAGAGACTTTAAGACCTTGGCTTTGATGATTTTTGAAGGTAAGAAATAAAATCAAACTGACTTCCACCGGGACACAGCGGTGGTCTTCACTCAGTAATCACAATCACAGAGCGATCTGCAAAGGTGATAGTTTTACACATGCCTGTTTCCTATACCAATATAATTACTACATTATCTTAGAAAGACAAGAGTTGCCTTAACTCTTTAAAATATATATAATATGAGTCTCCTATAGATTTTTTAAAGTCCAGATTCAGCAAAGAAAAGCAAAAAAATTCATTACTTTTCTAGGGTCACTTTCTTCCTTTACTCCTGCTTAAATGCGAAAGCTGACAGTCTCTGATTTGTGGAAAGAGCCAAAGGTGTTTGCTTTTCAGGCAGGTTCTGGTTGCCCTCTGCTGGTGCCCTCTGGTCTTCTGCTCTGTGGCTTTCATCCACCTCGCGTTTTCGCTTCTTTGCTTTGGCTCCCTCGTGAGTAGGCTCTCCCCTGGCTTTGTTAGCCCATGCCTTTGGAAAACGTTGGGAGTGTTAGGCAACAACAAATGAGAAGAAAAGGATTTCTTTACTTTTCCAGGCAATATTCTTCTATATAAAGCAGAATAATTGGCACCTGAGATGTTAAGCCAATCATTAGGGTTCTTATTGTTAACAAGCCTTTTATGACTTAAATGCCGAGCACATTAAACACTTGCATTCTACCTCTTTAATATTTCAGTGTAAACTCTGCTTGTATTTAACCATGCTAAAGCAAAATACTATAATTGTAAGTACTTTCTAAAAATGAAACTCTTTGGGATAATATACATGCGGTTGTAGGAAATAATACAGAAAAATCCTGAGTGGCCTTTACCAAGTTTTCCCCATTGTAACATCTTACAAAATTATAGTGCCATGATCGCAAACGGGGCACTGATGTTGACACAACCCCCTGTCTGACTTCTACTCATTTGTGTGTACGAGTCTGATTTTATTGTAGGTGTCTTCATCCCTCAAGCCCTCCCCCTCAGGACCCCACCCAGGCTCCAACCCCTGGCATTCACTATACTCTATTTTCCATCCCTAGCATGCTGTCATTTCAGGAGGGTTATACAAATGAATTACACAGCATACAGTCTCTGGGATTTGGATGTTATTCGTTCAGAAAGAGCCAAACAAGGCCACTCCTTTCATTTGTCTCTCAAAACTCTTTTATTTTTATTTTTTATTTTTCTGAGTTGGAGTCTCACTGTCGCCCAGACTAGAGTGCAGTGGCCACTTCCGGCCACCGCAGCCTCGACCTGCTGGGCTCCGGCGATCCTTCCGCCTCAGCCTTCCAAGTAGCTTGAACTACAGGCGCACACTACCACGTCCGGCTAATTTTTTTTGAGCTGAGCCACTGAGCCCGGCTTCTCAAAACTCTTTTAATCTATAATAGTTCCCCTTCTCTTACTTTACTTCCCTGGACATTTATATATTAAAGAAGGGGTACGGGGCACAGTGGTTCATGTCTATAATCCCAGCACTTTGGGAGGACGAGGTGGGAGGACTGCTTATACCCAGGAGTTTAAAACCAGCCTGAGCAACATAGCAAGACCATGCCTCTACAAAAAAATTTTTTTAAATTAGCTGGACATGGTGGCACGTGACTATAGTTCCAGCTTCTCAGGAGGTTGAGGTAGAAAGACTGCCTGAGCTCAGAGGTCGAGGCTGTGTGAGTCATTTTTTAATTTTTGTAGACGAGGTCTCCCTATGTTGCCTAGGCTGGTATTAAACTCTTGGGTTCAAGCTTGTCTCAGCCTCCCAAAGTACTGGGATTACAGGTGTGAGCCATGGCGCCCAGCCTACTTAAAAATATTGATTACAGTTTTACACATTCAAAAACACAATTACAACTCTTGCCAAGTCCCTTCCTCTTTTGCAGTGTAAGGTCTTATTATTCAGATGCCATTTTATCTAATTCTTCAGAATTTTTATCCCTTTATAAATGCTTACAAAAAATGAGAAACGAAACTGCTAAATGAGGCTAGAGGTGGTTAGACCAGTTCTAGTTTCCTCATCACACAATACCTTCATTCATAAAACCTACCTCACCAAAGCAGGTATCTGTGTCAGCAGGTGCTACACACAGCCATCCTCAGAGGTGGAGTCTGAGGGTTTAATTGGCACACCATGCACGTTCCTTCCCCTTGTAACAGAGAGGGGGCTCCTTCCTTCATGAGGCAGAAGCTCACAGGAGAAACAAGCTCCTGCCCTAACTTCCATGTGAAAGGTCGAACAGAACCCGTCTTTCTTCTCCAAAAGTAGTAATCTCATTTAGTACTGTGTGTATAAGAAGATGGCATTTTGAAAAGTTCTGTTTGCAGCTGGGCTCGGTGGTTCAGCCTGTAATCCCGTGTTTTGGGAGGTTGAGGTGAGTGGATTGCCTGAGCCCATGGGTTCGAGACCTGCCTGGGCAACTTTGCAAGACCTCATCTCTACAATAAATCAAAAAATCAGCTGGGCATGGTAGCGCCTGCCTGTAATTCCGGCTACTCGGAAGGCTGAGGCGGAAGGATCGCTGGAGCCCAGCAGGTTGAGGCTGCAGTGGCCAGGAGCAGCCACTACACTCCAGTCTGGGCAAAGAGTGAGACTCCAACTCAACAAACAAAAAAAAAGTTCTGCTTGCAAGAACTCTAAGTAGTAGTACAAAAATGTGAATAAACTCCATTTTTCCTTATGATTTTTTTCTTTTGATTTTTAACTGTGTCTTTTCTTGGGGTACTCCCCTAACTTGGAACACATAGGAGCATACAAATCTAAAAGGTAAATTGCCAAAAAGTAAATTTAGCATTAAAAAAAATCAAATAAATTTAATTTTTTTTTTTTGAGTTGGAGTCTCATTCTGTCACCCAGGTTGGAGTGCAGTGGGCATGCTAATGGCCACTGCAGCCTCAACCTGCTGGCCTTAGATGATCCTTTCGCCTCAGCCTTCCAAATAACTGGAACTACGGGAATGCACTACCACACCCAGCTACTTTTTTGATTTATTGTAGAGATGAGGTCTCACCAAGTTGCCCAGGCTGATCTCAACCTGTGGGGGCTCAGGCTATCCTCTCACCTTGGCCTCCCAAAGTGCTGGGATTATAGGCACGAGCCATTGCACCCAGCCTAATAAATTTAATTTGTAAAAGCTGACATTTCACATTTATTTCCTTCACCAAAAGTTTAATGGATATATCCAATTTCCAAAAGGAGAAAAAGGCATTTCTATAAAAAATTTTAAAACCTAAGAATTCACTAAGACCTCAATCTCAGCACAGTTATCCTTACCTTCCTTTCTTCGGTTGACAGTACCTTAAATCGAATCATTCCCTCTTTTATTATGTCTGCTGCATCTGAAAGGTCAGGATTGTCAGACAAAATATTACTTCTGTTTTCTTCTAGCCACATCTGGAACCCAGTCTTTGGCCTAAAATAGCAATTTTGTGAAAAAAATGTTATACTTGAGACAGTTTAGAGTACCTTCTGATTTGTCAAGTTAGCAATTAACCATTAGTCTTTGCATACCTATATAAAGTAAGGAAGGCACAATTACACTTGTTAATATTCACATTACTTTATTTTTTTTGTTTTTTGGGTTTTTTTTGAGTTGGAGTCTCACTCTGTCGCCCAGATTGGAGTGCAGTGGCCGCTCCCGGCCACTGCAGCCTCGACCTGCTGGGTTCTGGCGATCCTTCCGAGTAGCTGGAACTACAGGCACGCGCTACCACGCCCGGCTCATTTTTTGATTTGTTGTAGAGATGAGGTCTTGTCAAGTTGCCCAGGCAGGTCTCGAACCCGCGGGCTCAGGCAATCCACTCACCTCGGCCTCCCAACGTGCTGGGATTACAGGCTGAGCCACCGAGCCCGGCCCACATTACTTTAAACTGCCTGGAGGCTGCAGGATTCATGAACTTAAAGATCCTTTCTAAGGTCTAATTTAAAAGAATTACTCCAATTTGTATTTTTCCAAGAGCAGCAAGCAACCAAGAACTGTGCACTTTCAACTTTTTAATGAATGTCAGCAGGCTCCAGGTCTCCAACCTCACGTAGCCCCTTTAGCCTGGTAAAGTCTTTCCATGGGACCTTAGGAGGCTCCCCAAGGCAGTTATTTGAGATCCTCATTTTCTCAAGCCCTTTCCCATCACCTCACCTTTGCTTTCAGAGCTGACCTGAGTCTTTCTCTGTATCATCATTATGTAAAGCATAGACCCAGAAACTTGCACATTTTGTTAGATTCCACTCATGACACAAAGTGTCTTTAGGTCACAAGTGAAGGTTTATTGCAAATATTTAATATTTACTGAGCACTTACTATCTGCCAGGCACTGTTCTAAACACTTAATGTGTATTATCTTTTTTTTTTTTTTTTTGAGTTGGAGTCTTACTCCGTTGTCCAGGCTGGAGTGCAGTGCACACTCACGGTCACCCCAGCATCAACTTCCTGGGCTCCGGCAATCCTTCCACCTCAGCCTTCCAAGTAGCTGGAACTACAGGTGCACGCTACCATGCCCGGAGGATTTTTTAAAAATTTTTTATTATAGAGATGAGGTCTCACCATGTTGCCCAGGTTGGTCTCAAATCTGTGGGCTCAAGCAATCCTCCCAACTCAGCCCCCCAAAGTGCTGGGATTACACAGACTTGAGCTATAGCTCCTGGCTGTGTATTACCACTGAAACAGCAGTAACCCAATGTGGTAGGTGTGATTAGTATCTCCATTCCAAAGATGGCAAAAACAAGGCTCAGAGAGGTGAGACAACTTAGCCCAGGATACATGGAGAGTAAGAGTCAGTCCTGGGATTGAACAGCCAGGCATCTGATTCCAGAGTCCTATGCTTAGTCCACCAGCCATGCTTCCTCTCCCCATGCAGATCTATACAGATCCCAAACAATGTGCTTAAACACACAACAAAAATACCAGGGGAAAACATTTACGACAAAAAACAAAAATGCGGGACATAAAATTATCTCAAATACAAATCCCAGTAAGTATAGAAGCTTAGATTCACTAAAAAGGACTGCAAGGGGAAAATTACCACTATGAACAAGTCATCAAGTGATTTGTTTGTCTAAAATTTTTTGTTTACAAAAACAATTCATTTAAAAATTAATAGTATGACTATATCACTTGCCTAATTTCTAAAAATACACAAATTTTAAGTAATCTTCCTAATGCAATCTTATTTCCACAAAAATAAAAGAACAAATGAAAACAAAGAAAAATCAAAGCTAAGCCAAGTTTCTTAAAGTTTGAAAATTAATAAGACCCATTTAATTAAACTTGGGACAATGTTACAAGTCTAGCAAATAGCATGCAATCTTCTGTCTCTAAACAGTTGTTTTTAAAAAGAAAAACAAAATTTAACATTTTTTTTTTTTTGAGTTGAAGTCTCACTCTGTCGCCCTGACTGGAGTGCAGTGGCACACTCCCGACCACCATAGCCTCGACCTGCTGGGCTCCAGCAATCCTTCCGCCTCAGCCTTCCAAGTAGCTGGAACTACAGGTGCATGCTACCACGCCCAAGTAATTTTTTGATTTATTGTAGAGAGGAGGTCTCACCAAGTTCCCCGGGCGGGTCTTGAACCCGCTGGCTCAGGCAATCCACCTACCTTGGCCTCCCAAAGTGCTGGAATTACAGGCTGAGCCACTGAGCCTGGCCTAACATTTCCTTTTTTAAAAATTAATCCAGCCGGGCTCGGTGGC